CTCTGTAGTCATCATTACCTCTGATGGAAGTGAAATCCATAAACAAGGTGGCAGCCCAGATCTTTCCTCCCTCAGACAAGTGTCCCCACCCCGTGCATTTGAGAGTCATCTGGCAACATCATTGTCATTGGTGGCCAATAGATCAAGCAGGCTGCCTGATAAGAATGGTCCCCTATGAAATGACGGGTTAGCAGTGTCACAAGTTTGGAGTGAGGCAAGGGAATATGGTGCAGTTAGGGAGGGGACCTATCCTTGTCTCGCCACTGGCATGATTCTGAAAGAAGTATAGGCGAGAGATATGGCAGGTTATACGGGATACAATTGCCCACTTGGGAATCTTCCATCTAAAGAGATTACAGGAAAGATTTAGAAAGGGGAATTTTCAGATTGATTTCCTTGCTGTTCAGGAAAGGTCTGACGAGGAAGGGGGCAGAAAACACAAAAATGAGGAGGACAAACCCTGCAGGCCTAGGATACCTCAAACATTTATGCAAGTATAATATGTGTGAGGAGCCCCTCATTCAAGTACGAAGGCTTATGCTATATGAGATGGAGGGGAAGAGCATGGCAAAGATATGACAGAAAATTTAGTCAGAAAGTCACAGAAAAGCCTGTTTTACTCTACAGTAAAATAGACAAGGAACACTGTTGTAAATGACTCCTTGTCTCCCCACCCAGCTGGCATTCACAGACCAGGTTGCTAGTGCCAAAACCTCAGCTTCAAAATGCAGGTATAAATGCCAATGTGTGCTTTGCATTTAATGCTAATGCTTGGAAATGTTTTCACTTCCAAGGCAGGTACAAACACCGCTGTGGGATGTGTAGGGCCAACATGGAAAAAAGCTCATTGCCAGCAGAGCAGTAGAAAAGGGGGTCTGCAGGAACTCAGTGCTTCAGGAGATGCTTCAGGCAGTAACCATGGAAAAGGCTGCTTGCTTCTCCAATAAAGATGTAGGTATTACAGAATGTATTGCCTGCCCTACGAAAAAAGATGCTGCTTATTTATGGAATGGATTTTTGACCAGTTTTCAAACTCCATGGAGAAAGTGTGAGGTGCTACTGCTCTGCAGAGAATTTCAAGTCCTTTAACAGCTTGATGTTGAAGATCCTGTGTTCAGCCCTAATGACAGTCCTTGCTAATTGTTAAATTCTCACTAGTAAATGAATTACAGGTGGTAAAGAGGCACCTAAATTTTGCATGCTGGGTAGTGCCTCCCAGTTGGTCATTTTGTGCCCATCGGATATCAATCTTCTGTGGAGTGCAAAACCCGCACCACTTAATCAGAATGACAAAGGAAATCTTCTTAGCATATGTACAATGTGCCTCAGTCAGCACATGACCAGATTCATCCCCAAATTTGGTCTGCTGATTGAATGACGGACTCCAGGAGCTCACCCCACTGGCCAGCAAGGATCTGAAGACAATGCTCCATCAACTCTGGAGCCTTGCTCATGACAGCTGTAGGACTAGTTGAGGACTTAGCTGCCCTGTGAAATTGGCGGGTCAGTGAGACCAGTTTCAGATTGCATGGAATTTAGGGCACAGGGAAGGCTTCACTTTGGGTGGCCTTAACCCATACATCAGGTGGTGTGATATATGATGAGATTGTACTCCCACAGTTGGGCTTCCTTTAGTCTCTCTGACTGGCTAGTGGAACTGTTCTACGGGAGTAGATGGGTGGGTTTCCCAGAAACATGTGGGCATTGCATAGTGAGGAAACTTTTAGAGGGCAGAGTGTGACCAGATAGCAAGTGTGAAAAATCAGGACTTTTTTTTGGGGGGGGGGGGGGAATAGTTGTGTATATAAGAGAAAGGTCCTAATATCAAGACAATCCCGATAATATAGCTACATTTGTTCACCCTAAAAGGGTGCTCAAGGAGGGACAGTGCTGTAGGGTCTACATGTTACCCATAACACTGAAACCCACAGCAGAGCCTATAATAATAATGTCAGGGTCTGTAGCTGTGGGAGGGGCCATTTTATTTAAAGCAGCATTTGTTGTTCCCTTCTTCAGCATTTTTTGAGTGAGTGAGCTGGTGTCTATGGCAACTGCAGACAGGTTCCAGCACTTGTTAAATATCACAGATGTAATCTGCAGGAGTGGTGTGTCTGCATTTCATGCACTCAGAAATCAAGGAGGCTGAGGTCCTCATCACCTTACTGCATTGTCTCTCCCCGTCTTGTCGGGGTGTGTGTATGTGTGTGCTTAGAATCAAAGAGAGCTGAGTCCTGAGGGATAGGCCGAGGAGAACCTATCCCATGTTATGGATTCTACAGTAAGGAGCCCTGCAATGCCCACACTGGAACCAATTAAATGTCTTGGGCTATGTCTACATTGGCCCCTATTCCGTAATAGGGATGCAAATGTAGCACTTTGGAAGAGGCAAATCCGCGGGGGATTTAAATATCCCCCACGGCATTTGCATTTTCATGGCTGCTGCTGAAAGTAGGAATAAGAGATCGTCCGGAAAAGGGCTTATTTTCCGGAGAATCACGTCTAGACTGGCGCTTTTCTCCGGCTTATCCCCAAGCCGGAAAAAAGCGGCAGGCATGGGCCGGAGAAAAGCGCCAGTCTGGACGCGATCCTCCAGAAAATAAGCTCTTTTCCGGAGGATCTCTTATTCCTACTTTGAAATCTACCAGCCGGAAAAAAGCGGTAGCCATGTTAATGCAAATGCCGCGGGGGATATTTAAATCTCCCACAGATTTGCCTATTCCAAAGTTCTATATTTGCATCCCTATTACGGAATAGGGGCCAATGTAGACACAGCCTTGGTGTGGGCCAGTATGGGTGATAGGCTAGGTGTGTCCCTCCCTTGTGTTAAAGTTTAATAAAAGTTGCAGCCTGCCACTTAGTGCCATGCATGTATCAGTCTTTCTTCTGCCCATGTCCACATCAGTGTGTTTTGACGATGGTCCATTTGGGTGAGAGGGAGCAGTAAACCCACCCTGTTCGGCAGATAATGTGGGGGCAAGTCTCAGTTGGTGGGCCTGATGGAAAACTTTCAGAGGCAATGGCAAACAATTCAAATGATTTAAAAGTAAAAAAAGAAACACTACAAGAAACCAAGAGTTCTCCCTATCTGTGGGTATGTCTACACTACAGCGCTAATTCGAACTAAGCTAATTCGAACTAACGCATCCAGACTAAAAAACTAGTTTGAATTAGCGTTTTTCTAATTCGTACTAGCTTGTCCACACAGAGTGGACCCTGAACCGGGGTTAAGGCTGGCCGGAAGCAGGGCCAGAAGGGCATCAGATGAGGACTTAGAGCGTGGAGCTGCTGTCTCAGGCTAGCCGAGGGCTGTGCTTAAAGGGACCTGACCCCCACCCCGGACAGACAGTTCTCAGGGGTGCCCCACTTGCAAAGCAGTCCTGGCTTGGATTGCCCGGAGTACGCACACTGGGCACATCACAGCACTCAGCCATCAGACCGGCTGCACTTGCCGCAGGCTGTCATCTGGGGAGAGGGGGTAATTGGGGGGCTGCAGGAGAGGTTCCACCCCCAGAAGCCCGCAGAGCCAGCCCAGTCCTCCCCATCGGGGGCTCGTACCCCATTCTTCCCTCACCTCCTTCTACTTTCCCCTCCCTAGCCCCCCTTCCTGATGTACAAAATAAAGGACAATTGTGTTCAAAAATAGAATCTCTCTTTATTGAACAAAACTGGGGGAGACTGGGAAAAGGAGGTGGGAGAGGGGAAGAGAGAGGGTGGGAGAGGGGAGGGCAACTACAATGATCAGAGGTTTGGAACAGGTCCCATATGAAGAGAGGCTAAAGAGACTGGGACTTTTCAGTTTAGAAAAGAGGAGACTGAGGGGGGATAGGATAGAGGTCTATAAAAGCACGAGTGGGGTGGAGAGGGTGCATCAAGAAAAGTTCTTCATTAGTTCCCATAATAGAAGGACTAGAGGACACCAAAGGAAAGGAATGGGTAGCAGGCTTCAAACTAGTAACAGAAAGTTGTTCTTCACAAAGCAAAGAGTCAACCTGTGGAACTCCTTGCTGCAGGAGGCTGTGAAGGCTACAACTAGAACAGAGTTTAAAGAGAAATGAGATAAAGTCATGGAGGTGGGGTCCATGGAGTGCTATTAGCCAGGGGGTAGGAATGGTGTCCCTGCCC